GTTATATTAATCAATCCTGTATATAAGGAAATAACGTTTACGTAAATTGAAACAGTGTCAAACTTGAAACTTGGAGCGTTAGTTGTAAAACTCATTAGCACTGGATGCCAACTAATTTTGATAGATTTTCTTGTCAAGCGATTTACCAAACGACACCTACGGTTTATGTCAAACGTGCTCGACGAAATGTCACGGTGACAAATATTAAACAGGAATTAACTGCAATTACGATGAAATTGCAAGAGTTAATTAAATTGCGTGGATTTCGATTAATCATATGAGTTTTGTTTTTTATCTTATATAGTTTTTCAGTTTTATTTCAAAGTAACAAAAAATTTAGTAAGACTACAGTAATGCAATCTTTCCTTTCTACTGAAATATATATTGAAGTCAAATAATCTTTAAAAATATTATATTTTTTTATAAATGATTCGATTACTTTATGTCTTTCACAAATAAACTATGACATGATAAATAACAAATTTCTTCATTCTAAAAAACTGTAATAATTTATTACTACATGATCCTCAAAGTTGTAATAATCGAAAACAGCTACAATGTAAAAATCTATAGATGCAAGTTCGCTTTATTCTCAAAAGTAATTGAACTTAAGTCGTTGATTCCGTATTAGATTCCATATTAGATTCTATATTATCAAGTGTTGTTAGATGCTGGAACATTTTGGTAAATTGGACCAGTAGCAAGGATAGCAACTTGATCCCTCGTTCGTGTATCGAATGCAAAATTGAACGCAGGAGGATGGTGGCAATATTTTTGGTGCTGACGGGCGGCAATATGATTCTGAAGCTGATGGTTGCGAGCAGGGTCCGGCAATGCATATAGTAGGTGGTAGTGGCGGGGGCTCTGGTCTCGGCCTACATGTCTATAAAAATAGATTCTGACATTGCAAAGGATACTGTCATAATCTCTTTACATTAATATAAAGCAAAAAGATCACGACGCAAATAATATTTATTCCATAATTTTAACGATATAATGACGATACGATTTATTTAGCATTTATTTAATTAAATCGTATATCGTCATTATATCGTTAAAATTATGGAATAAATATTATTTGCGTCGTGATCTTTTTGCTTTATATTAACTTTCTTTTTATTTAATACTTGTCCGCATAAATATTTATATCTTTCAAGATAACTGCATAAACTATGCAAACTATGAGCTATAGAAGAATTTTGCAATATTTATCCTTAAAAGACTATTTAATCATTTGTGTACCAATGGTGGATATGAAGGTAAACAATCACAACGTCTAAGAAGTCTGGGTTCGGGAGGCAAACAGCCATTGTCTGGACAATAAAATGGTATCGGCCTGGGGTGATAACACGGTGGAGGTAACGAACTTGGTCGTTTCTTCTCTTTGTGATTAGCACAGCGAGACATTCTTCTCTTTTACTTGAAAAATTTGGACATCACATTTTATCCTAATTTCTAAACATCTAATATTTCTGTCTAATCGATTAATCTTTTGTTTAAGAAAATGGACGTATTTCTTTTCGTAATGTACTCTGAGTATCATAATAATTTATTTTTTAAGTACATTATAATCACTTTTTAGGATTTATCGGATTAGAGTTATTTTATACTGTTAAGTTTTTGTCATTACGTTAACAGTTAAAATATTGTACGGTATATTTATATTTTCTTTTGGTTTATCCAAATAATAATAAATTTCTTACCTCTGTTGTAATTATTAACTGAAACTACATATAATTATTTTGATGTTATCTTAACACTGGTTTCCCAGTGCAGTCGAACCATTTGAAACAACAACAAGTTACTTTTCCTGATGATCTTTCAGGAGGACGACAACGTGGAATGGCAGGAAAGTAACAGGGCGAATAAGAGATTCTATAGAATAGAAGAATACATAAATACCAAAGTCTTTATAAATTTTTTAAATCTTTCTTCAAATTGCATGTTACTTTCATAATCTTAGTCTACTTTTAAACATTATCTAATATATAAAGCAAAAGTTGCTGAAAATTTAATGCTGCTATCGATCTGCTCGCTTAATATAAAATGTATAAGAATCATTTTGAGTAACATACCTGTCGCAAGTATACGTAAGCTGGAATTGAACGGCAGATCCGTAGGGACGCGATGATATGTCAGATAAATATTTCGGGCGTGCACAATCAATACGGGGTAATTTTGGAGAACACCGCGAAGGAACACTAGGTGGAAATTTTGCGAAAGCGTCCTGAAGGCTCAGCATGTTAATATTACTTTTCTACATTCTCCAGTTACTTCTTTTAAAGAACAACTATTAATTTTGATGGAGCACAAATGTCAAATGCCAACGTTAATTTACGTTGCAACTTGTGTGCTCTTGCATCATCGTGAATTTGGCGAGATTGCATACTATGTGACAAATTAATATTCAAATAATTTATTTTATTATATTAGCATGAAAACGGATTCTTTGAACATAGGAAATATACAGTGATTTATAGCATTATCTATTAAAAACTATACTTAAAATATAGACTGGTTTGGTTCTCTGTATTTTACTGCATTATACGTAAAATGTTGCTATTAGTAATAACAATCGATATTATCAATTACTTAACAAAGTGTATTTTACAATAAACATTTGATCTTTGAAATTTCTTGCTTTAAAAAAAATGGCATCAAAGAAATGAAAATATCTTGAGCTCTGTAAAACACACTTTAAAGAAATAGTAATACTCGCATAATTACGAAAAAAATGCCGGTTACACCTTTTCTCCATTTTGTGTGAACAATATGAAGATGAATATTGTATATTGAGGAAATGGAAAGAGATTGCCATCTCTCGTTGGAAGAGTGCGCATTTTGTGAAAAAAGAAAACGAAACAAAAGGCATGTTCGTAATCACAACAGATATTATATAATAAACCGTATTTTTACAGTGGCAGATACAATGTAAAATGAACAAGGATACCTTTACGAAATATACACGCATTAAGTCGCATGTTGATCCAGGAATCGACCGGCGATACTATGTACAACACAACCACGTAAGCGTGCGCGATGTACCATCCAACTGGCAGGCAACGCGGTTGCACTTTTGAATTTGGCACGCGGTGCATCTATTCGCCTATATCCCTGTCCCGGCGTCTCTCTTTCTAAGTACGTGTATGTGTATATGTAAATGTGTATGTATGCCACTGTTATTCGCTTCTCTAAATGCACTCGCCTGATTCAGTCAAACGAGACACCGGAACGCGTCTTGGCCGATCCCCGCTAATATCCCGCGTGCGCGGAAGAAACAGACGTCTAGCGGAACGACATCCATTGTTCGCGTCGATTAAAAAGTTAAAAAAGAATTCAGCGTCCGAATAAATTACAGACGTCCAGCGTGGAGATCGGCCAAGACGCCGCTCTATCGCTCCTCCTCGATCCTAGTCAAATGAACCGTGTAAATTAGCGTACATCGACTAAGAAACGTAAAAGGACAAACAATAAGTACGTAAACATGATAATGTTACAACGAATCGTTATGCTGCATTATGTACACGTTTCTTTCCCGCGCACTTCCGCGGGAAATGCACGGGAGATCAATGGAGAAACGGAAGAAATGTCAGTCTGAAGAGAATAAAAACGATAAAAGTTACAAAGATGAATAAAGAACATCGACAACGTGCGTCGATTAGCAACGATTTCGCTAACAACGAGCTACGTGTGTTAATATTTAAGTACATTGATTAAACGACATTTTCATAAGTACCACAATAAGTACCTAAGCGATCGCTCCCTGTGCTGCTTTACAATTATTCGTTTAACTTCCTTCGCTTAACTTTGTTCCTCCTTTTGTTACCTTTTTGATTTTCGGGACGGACGGAAGGTGGCTCGAAAAACCAAGTCCATTTTTGCCGAACAACTCGCAATGACGATGGCGACTTTTCTATCGGAGAAATCGTTCGTTTCATTCGTCTTATAATTGCCAATGATAATTTCTTCTAATCGATAATTCGATTTCATCTATTACAATCGAAGCAATAACACTTTAACGCCCCATCGGTGTAGAAAAATTATTGATACAGGCTTCGATATTTAGCGTGATGAAATAAATTACGTTCGATGCGACGTCAACAAAATGGCGAGTCAACCGAAACGATGCTGCTTAATAAATTTGTAGTATTGCGGAGATATTTACATGTATTTACGTACTCAATTAGTAAAATTACTGCGCGTGACAATCTATCATTGCTCTTAAAAATAATACAAGAATCATGACCATCACCAAACATATAATTTACATAACTTAAAATTTACAATTTACAACTTATAATGTTTAATTTATAATTTACAGATAAGCTACAGATCTCTCTTATATGTATAATACAGAATCGTAGCGTCGTCGTCTCCCATGTCGTTTCGTAAAAAATTATAAAATACTATTATAATTATAATTGTGCAATTATTCGCTTCGATTGAACTTCAGGAAGAATTCCTCCTCGAGCCTCATTGCTGAGTCGCCGGCTTAATGAATGACACGCACTCTCGGCAATTTCTCCACACTCTCTTATACTGTCGCGTTTTAAATAACTAATCTATATACAATGCATACATACACACCTCAGTTATCCCTCTTGTAAAATCTCCCTTGGCCTTCCTCGACGTTTACCCTCGATCCGTTTCGAAAAACCGAAAGTGCAGCGATTAACTTGAAAGACAGAAAGCTGCGAGGCGCAATACTGATATCTCACGGGATACTATCAATTACTATACTGGGACTGAGGAAACTCCTTCGCTCGCTACGACGTATGTACATAGCCGAGCGCAATCAGATTGTAGATATGAACTCGCACTCGGAGGATCGGCTCGATAAGCGACTTTTCGCGGCTATTATTACAGAGGCGGAAGCACCGTCTAGACTCTCTCGAGAAAGATTATCCCCGCGAGCGTTATCCTCGAGAATTTCTACGCGCTCCGTCATCCCCGCTCCTCGGTCCTCATAATAAATGCGACACGATCGTATGTATAATAGACAACGATAGTGTGTAAGACATATCTCCGCTAGTCTTTAACAGCTAATCTTAAGTAATTTATGGGGTGTTTCTTGCCGGCTACGGGACGATAGAGTCTGTGGTACCCGAACTCACGATCACTCATCCTGTGCTACCACGACCTTTGAGCAAGTTCCTCACGATACTTCGTAATCCGTTCGACCCTGTTCGCTTAAGTACTGGCCACTTCACGTCAATATCACAGTCTCCCCGTGGATGTTAACTGCCCTCCTTCGAGCGTAATCAGATCTACGCCCGGTAGAACGTACGTGTCTATGTGCTTTGTCTGATCCGGACGAGCCTGCCGGAAATACAAGTCCCCTTCCTGCGGAAGGTACGGTCACCTCACTTCGTGATTCAGGTCACGATACGACCACGAAGTGGCAACTACCCTACGTGTATATATATATTTCTTTATTTATATATATATATTTCTTCTTTTCTTCTTTGAAAAAAATAACAGTAAGGGTGCAGCGTAATCTTGAGTGCGTACAATTTCGTTTTTCATGCAGAACGACGATAATCGCTCGGTCCGAGCCTAATTCTACTCAAGATAATTAGGATATCCAATTACGATATCGCGTGATAGACATTCAAGTGTAAGATATTATCCGTACCGTCGGGAACTCCGCTTACACGCGTATTTCACGACATCTATTGCTTTCACTTAATCGGCTGACGAGCCTATTATTATCGGTGCGTGAAACTTTGTGTTCCCCGTCACGTCACCCGGACATCTGCTTATGCGTATATGCGTTAATTTTACTTTTACTGAGGTCGTTAAGGCTGTGCGCGTATATACTTATCTATCTATTAAGTATATTTTACGCTGATATATTTTTGTGCTGGTTCAGTTCGTCGCTACCATCGTTGCTGCTAAGCGCCGATTCGACAAAAAGGATTATCGCGCTTCTTCGGCCCAGCTTCTCGAGGGATCTCGTAATAAACTTACGAGGTGCGATCAAGAAGTTTCCCCGAGCTGATGCCGCGAGGTAGGAACTAGCATGATATGGGATGGAATAGAGACGTGATAAAGTAGAGATTGCAAGTATAAGTCAGTATGCCAAGTAGCATAATGCTGCTATTATTGAGTATACTACTTGCGGTTTCATTCGACAATCTAGGTGACCATTTGCGACTGTGATGGACACAAATTGGAGCAAGACGCGTACGTGTAAAAACATCTGTAGAAGCAATACCAAATATCATCAAGCCATTGGGAGTCAATTGCCACGTCGATCGATTCATTTGTGAAGATCGCAGGGAAATGTTAATTTGATCTTGACTTCTTGAGTATTTTCAGGAGTTGTTTTCATATTCGATATCCCTCGTATCAAACGTGCATTAAACGTTTCTTGTTCTCGAGCGAGTTCCATGTCGTCCACGTTTAAAATGTTGACGCCACTCGTAAATTTATATTTTTCCTAGTGTCTTGTCCCCAAAAACTTGTAGAAGCATTTGGTAGTTTTCGAAGGTACTTTCAGCTTCGCACAAAATTGCGTCATCGCAATTACAAGCAAGCACTTGGATTGTCGAACGTAAGCAACGAAAGGCTCGATAATTGCACTATCGTGCCACTGACTCATAAGACCTACAGTCTCTACGTCCTGTCAGTGCACTCCTACAACCACTAATTCCTCGCAGCATCAGTTCCGAAACTTTCCGATGGCTCCTCGTATATTATTACTACTCATCCGGAAAAACTTGACGGTGTTTGCGATCGGATCGAGGACACGCGGCTCACGTGTAATACTTTCGATCGTGCGCAAGGTCGGAGCGCGGGCGGACGCCATGTAGCCGCTATGTGCTCGAGTGGAAATACTTGGCGACGTTGTTGATGAACTCCTGACGCTACAACTGCACTTGGAACGCCTGGGTCGCGTTCGGCATAATGAAGGGATTCGTCGTGCTCGACTGCTGCATATTTCTGGAAGCGATTTCCGCCCATTCGACGTCGAAGGGATCAGAAGGTCCTCTGGAAGTCAAGCTCATCGCAGCCGAGCCGAGAGAATGCGCTCTTGTATGAATGGGAGGCGCTCGCCGAGGACTAACGTTTGCCTGTGACACCGGCACAGAGCCGGTTATGCTACCCAACCATTGTTCTGGTTTCGGCAAACCAGCTGCCGTGGAAAGTGGTTGCACCTGTTGGATGGAGAAACTCGTGAAAGGACATCTCGAATTAACGTCGAAATTTACGATGCTACGCGATATAATGAGTAGCCTAAAAGACTGATTTTTACATTTACATTTTATAGCGGAAACATTGGAATGAGAAGTTGTGAAAACGATGAGAGTGAAATGAGAATTCAATACGTGTCTCAGAAAAGAAGATAAAAACGTTTCCAAAGCGTAAATGTGTTCTTAACGATTATCTAGCAATATATTATACTTTAACAAGATCTTCCGTTCGAAAACTATTGCTGATAAATATTGATTGATAAATAATTGGGGAAAGTATAGAAGTGGTTATACGTATACATACATATTATAGCGGCGCATTTGATTCCTATTTGATCTTGCTGATATAAGTTTCATAGGACTAAACATTTTGCTAAAATAAAGTGATTATTGCGCTATAAATGTTTAACTTACTAAAGCCGTCGGGATTCCAGTTGTCGACGAGACTTGAGCGACGTCAGTCGAAATTGGTACCGCCGGGGAAACGGATGCTATGCTGGTACTAGGAGAACTTGTTTTTGAAGTTACCGTGGAATTTATTGGGACCGGCGATCTGTTGACGGCCGGCGTAGACGTATTTCCTAATGAGGACGTAGAAGCTGTGCTGAAAGCAGGACTTGCTGCCGACGGTGGCGTGCCGAAAGCACCTACACTAGAGGAAACAGGTGCCGGTGTGCTCATAACGACCGGAGTGGGCGCGTTCGTCCTTGGAAGAACGGGACTCAAGTTGCTTGCCTTAAGAAGAGGCGTGAGCCTACGATTCGACGCGAGTACGGGAGATGCGGACTCTTGCCAACTGGGCCCAACGTGATTCAGACTACTGAGCTCTTCGTTCTTGTCGTTGTTATCGTTGTTATTGGGACCGTTCTGCAGTTTCATCTCGTCCAACGAGTTGCTACTCGTTACTGAAAGGACACGAGTTGATTTGATGATAAAATTTACATGTACTGACGCGTATGACTTTTTGAAACCATCCTGACATTATTGACCCAGAGCATAAAGCGAGTAACTTCCACGGTTTTATCAAAGAGTATGAATACCTGGAGGAGAGTTACTGGTACTAGTGAAAAGCTGCTTGGCGACAGAGCTGGTGGCAGGCTGGGACGACGGCATTGGTCCAAAGTCGTCGCTGCTCGAGAGCAGAGAAAGCCCTTGAGACAGCTGCTGACACATTGCGGAGACGCTGTCATGATCGCCGGGGAATATTTCTGGTATTGGACTCACTGTGAAGAAACAGAAGACATCACGTTTAAAACAATATATTTAGTGCAGCTGAAATTTTGCGACATAGGTGCTAGAACGCATTCTACAAGAGGCATGCTACAGGACGCCTAAATGTAATAGTGGTGGTATTATAGTATAAATGAGAGAGTATATAGAACGATGAATACACGGTGTAAGTTGAATACCTTTTCTCTAAGCACAAACAGAGATACGTGGGGGCGAATTAAAATTACGAGGGTTCTAGCTACGCGCTCGCAGTGTCATGGTACCAGTTTATGTCTGTTAACTTAATCATACGGAGAACCGGTGTGTATGGAAGACGAGCATGTTTAAGGATACATTGAAGAGCAAGCAACAGTAAAGATTAACAGAATAAGGAGTAATGACCTTCGTCATATCCTTCGAATTCTGTTGTAAGACAAAGAAGTATATTGTTATTTAGCAATCAGGTCGATTTCAATTAGTAGCATATAATCAAAGCGTATGCACTTGTGCGTATCACACGTCGTAACTTTTATTCCCGCACTCGTTAATGCGTCATTTACTGAAATTATAAATAAAATAAAAAGGAACATTTTGGGGCCGTGAACGCTCACCTGGAGGCTTCGAAGGTATAATGTGCGAATGAGCTGAAGGCATTCGCGCCAAGTCCGTTGGCTCGAGACTGTGACTACGTGTGCGTTCAAGGGTACTAGGAAGATCGTTGACTCGTAGACTGAGCTGCCTTTTAAACGGGGATGCTTGACTTAGCTGTGAGAAACCCCTAAAGGAACCTTGTCGCTCTAGCATAGATAACGTAGCGTGTGGCCTCTCAATCGCAAAGGGATTGAACACTTGCCTAACCGGAGGAATTTCTGAAACATCAATATATTTTATACAGTAAAACCCAAGTAAATAGATATCGCAGATGACTTTTGTGACGTATTGCATAGAGATCACATGATATTTAAGGTGAAACGTTGGAAATATTAAATTCTTATATGCTAATCCTTGCAAACACCAACCAACAGTTACAACATAGATATTATAATTTCCCACTCAATAATATAAATGCAATATAACACATGTTGTACAAGTAATGAGTAGTAAATATAATATTGATGCTACGTAACGCGTACAAGATAATTTTGCGAATTTTATAACACAAACGTCTAGGAGTATGTATACTTAGCTTTCCCCAAATCCACCAATTTATTAAATCGTGGATTAAAATAATAAAAATGGATATTTGTGTGTGTGATGCAATAATGCACGCAACCCACCTGCTGCACGATCGCGCGCTTCTTGCAACCGCTCTGCGAGATTCGGTTGCCTAAAGCTACCGCTTCTCGTGAAGATGGAAGTCTTCGAATCAAAAGTCATTGTAACTCCGCATTCTTTGTCTCGTCGTTGCTTCCTCTCCAGGCATGCGGCGAAGGCGCAGCCCACTGCGTGACTCAATCTTTCTCCCTTAACGATAAAAAATTAATTCATTTAAATATGTCCTCGTTATTCACATGAGTCCCTTAAATATTAATATGTTGTTTATTTTTTCTTTAAGCAAAGCAAGGCTAAAAATATGCACGTTATATTGTAAACAAGATTAAGATATATACAACTTTAAATTCTATGGTGACATAAAACGTTTTCCAATTTTTACAGAGATTGCTCATCACATAGAATATCATAGTAATTCTCATTAGATCTGTCAGCAATTATGGACGCGTTAAAATTAAAATATCCATCACATATTTAGCTTTTATAAGTTAGAGTCTCATGTTATCACCGCCGTACCATCAGATGTTACGTACATTTGCAATTACAATGCATCAATGAGTCCTTTTATCGACAGAGTAAAACATCCCTATTGTATAAAGGGATGATTTCCCATTCAAACGGGATGAAAAGGCACCTAACTTACCGATTCTTTTAATGCTAAAAATCCGTGGCACATCCACCGTCTTGTCGTACCATCCCTGCAAATATAACTGAATCCCTTCTCGTGATTTCTGTCCGGCGCACAAAATGACACTTTTTCAATTGTCTGGTCTACAATTAACCCTTTCGTTTCGTCCTCGACAACGCGCAATCCGTCGCCAGATACATGAAGTACCGCCCGCACCGGCCTTCGTCTTGAGTTCTGAAAATTCAGTCATGAATTAACTTGGCTGTCCGAATTACCCTTTGACCTTTGCACCGATTTATTTTCAGGTCGCTTTGGTGTCAATGTCGACTCTATATGTAAGCTGTGCTAAATATAGTCGAGGCGAAAGACTCGGGGAATGTGGCGCGCCTGACTTTCGTAAGACTTACAAAACTTTCTACGGAGCTTCTTGAATATTTGATGTAAAAAGCAGCTCATGAAAAGGTAGCCCAGTTACTTTTCCGATTACTTATTCTTATATACATCAAAATAATAAACTGGATAAATAGAACGTGAAACCGTGCGCGAGAAATAGACGGTTAGGTATAAAAATTAATACTTTCAATCGATCCACAAAGAAGTCGCATTAACTTCAAAAAATATTTCGTATATACAAAATACTTACCCGAAGAACTTTAAGGGCCTCCTCGCAAACCTGCATACCCCTCGATTCGAACACCTCCACACATCCCAGGTACTGTCGAAAGAACAGTTAAATTATTCATCTATTAAAAATTAAAACAGACCTTTGTTTGATCTTTGTTTGTGAGAATTAACTGTGAGTATTTAACATTAATATACAGAATAATATAATCAGCATAAACTATAAAAAAGGATACGATAAAATTACACATTCTCGACACCAAATTAATAAAATCAATTATTTCAAGCAATGGAAATGATTTTACGCAAACAATAACTTTTTGACTTTAGTTGTCGGAGAATAAATCAATGATTTATACCCCTCAAAAATAAAAAATAATATTAAATATTAAATAGAATAAAAATATCCATCTTAAAACATTGATTGACACCAATTAGTTCTCAATGTAAGTCTTAAATGTTTCATTTCATCGATATCAATAATTGTGATACATTTAATTTTAGATGATCATTAACAGATAAACTTAGTTTCATTATTAACTTTTATGTTTACCTTAACATTAAAAGCGCATGTAGCTGAGCGCACAGCACTTTCATCCGCTTGCCACTGGTGAGGCTTGCTAGATTCGGGCACATGAGGGTCTTTCCGTCGGCGAAAGCTGTCCCGGAAGCTTCGTCGAAGCCGATCCATTCTTTTTCCTGGCGACCTCTCGCGCTTCTATAATAGCAGAACATAAAAACACGATTTATTTCCTACAATTTAGACAACAGTTCAAGCGATAAACTCAAACGAAGGACTGTCCCTTGTGTGTAACGAAGGGTCAACTACTCATGACAAATAAATAGGGTTACCTAGCGTTAACTTTTATAAGGTAAAATACAAAAATTGCAAGTTTCAATTGCACCAGTCACCTGATATTGATATTATAGAGACGTGAAAGAGATATTATTGTCCCAATATAAAATTTGAATCGTTCATTAATTTTAAAAATAAAAAAGAACAAAGAGAGAAAGAGAATTTAACAATAACGGATAGAAAAAATGCAAATATTAAAAATAAAAAAAATATATATAATTTAATTTTATAAATATTAATATGACAATTCAACTTCTCTCAATTATTACATCAAAGAAATTACATTTTCTGAATTTTCTAAATACATATTTGTTTAAATAAAAATGAGAAGCGATTGGGAAAGTTACTTTATAAAAGTATCTAGTCACAGTTACAGGTTTTGCCCTAAAAATGTAACTAGTTACAGTTACAAGTTCACAATTCTAAAAAGTAACGCGCTACAATTACAGTTACTCAAAAAGTAACGAATCGTTACTTTGCAGTTACTTTCTTGCAATGAAAATAAAAATATCAAATCTGCGTTCGAATTATAGAGTGTCGATAAAAGCGTGTATGTGCAAATGCAAGATCCAATGCGATCTGTGGAGGTTTAAAAAATATATACAGTAACTATTATAATGTAACTATTAAATTAGTTACTAGTTATCGAAAAAATGTAACCGAGTTAAGTTACAGTTACAGATGGAGAGAAAGGAACGAAGTTAAGTTAGAGTTGCCAGAAAAAAGTAACTGTAACTGTAACTTCGTTACAAGTAACGAGTTACTTCCCAACCCTGAAAATGAGTTAAAATTCATGTAATAAATATCGTTATTAAAAATTGCTTTTGAAGAAAGTAAAGTAATATCAAGAGAAATTTAAAAACTTTATTCGAATACAGAAAATAATAATGCCGATGAGATTGCGTGTCTGCGCGTGCATTGTCCAAATTTCAGGTGATTAACAAAGGTCAAGTCAGTAGGGAAATCTCGAAATAGGATCAGGGCAACAGATACGGCGTCCATAAGGAAAGACGTCTCTCTGTCAGTCGTAATTATTTTCTGATAAAGTTTAACATCGTAATCAACCGAGGCAAAGCCACGAGCGAATTCTCAAAGGACGCGTCTCCAGGATCCTCCCCGATGGATCGTTAACAGCGAAGCTTGAGAAAATGTGTCCGAAGCGACCACTGTCTGGCGCAACCGTTGCGCCGAATCGCCAACTCGACAAAGCCCTGTGATCGAATCTTGAGACCCGTTCCCAAAGAATCCTTTATATCAGAACCCTCCTTTATATCGGGTCTCCCCTAATACCGAACGCGGATCTACCCTTCGAATTGGCGGCACCCCTAAGAGCGAGTCGACGGATTGAGAACGGAGACACGTTAAGAAGACCTTTCTCTCACCCATGCCCTACGTTCCCCCCCCCCCCTTCGTCATCGACATCTCCTTCTGTCATGCTCTTCGTCTCGCTATCTGACTTTGCAAGGTTAATTAGTCGGCGTTATGTCATTTGACCAGATATGTCGTCACTTCTCGAATTTGTATATTACTCAAAAATACAAGCTAAAGTAAACGATTAAAAACCTGTACACGGATTACATTAATACCATGCAATGTATAATAATATATTAAACTTCTAAATTTTCTGATAGAACTTTAAAGAACCATTGAGTGATAGATATCACAATTTGACGTATCTCTCTTTTGCGTTTTTTTCATTCCGCGACAGCGCACGGAGTACATACTCCAGCAAATTGCGGCTGGATCGAATTAACTTGTGTAACATATGCATTTGCGCTTCTGTTCGAGAGAGTTCGTAGACTGACGTTGATTAACGATTAGCTTAATTATCTGCTCGTGGAAGCTCTTGACGCATTACACAATGATACTTACTGCAGCATACAGAATATATATTAATACTATTCATTTACCATCGACAACAAGTATTTTTACACGCTTTTAAGTAATCTTCTCTAGCAACGACTGTATTGGAGATCTTCATGCGTAATATTTGATATTAACATTAAATATTATTTTATAAATTCTTGAAGTAGCTTTGTATTAGAAACATTAAAATCTTTAGACTAACGGGAAATCTTTAGATAACAGGAACAGGATTTATATATTCAATTCAATTTTTTTCCATTACAAAATTTTTTATTTCGCACTTTGATTATTAAGTGTATAATACTGGGAGCATTATTTTATAAAACCATGAAGAAAATTCCCAAAGTTATCAAAGAATAAACTGAGAAGAAATGTGTCGACGCGACATTTTCCAGCGCGCGCATTTATGATATCACTCGCACGTGTTTCATGCAACTGGTCATATAGATAGGATTCCATGAATGACATCATACATCAGACGACATGCACATGTATTCTGAGTTCGCGATTGATGCCCAGATATTCATCCAGTGCAGTTGCGTATTACTCGTTACAGTAGGACGTAATTAGGACTTTATCGAGTTAGTTTGCGAATCGAGCTGATAATTCGAAATCGCGATACTAAACACGAACTCTACTAACAAACACATGTATATGCAAGCGCGCATATAGGTACACATTAATTTCCGCGAATCTATCGTGTTACGATCCTATCTGGGTACACACGCAGAAAATCAAGAAGCGCTTAACCCAATAAACTTAACGTGGCCATTGAATGTTATAGAATATTATGCGAACGCTCTCGCGTGTGTTATTGGGTTTATTATTTCACGTTATATACACGTGATAAAATTTTCCAAAGTTTCTAAAACCTCACGTGCAACTGCGATGATAGCAAAGTCGCTGCTCTTATCTCACCCTCAAAATATGAGGGCACGTTGACCTAACTTTATACGGCGCTCCAGATAATGAATATCGGCAAGATGATCTAAATACGTCCCCTACGACCGCATCCCCATAAATAACTTCTTCTGGATATGACATGGGAACAGTTATTAAAGGAGAAGGAGCATTCATTTTGAATTCGTTCCATTTAAATTTCTACTCTGGGTGCGGAATATGTTTTATTCGTACGTCAGGCAACGTGTGAATTGTTGGATTGTGAATCCTAAGTGAAGCTTTGAGTTATTTTTTATTGTGAAAAACAACGCAGGTGATTACCGATTTAGTACGAGACAAGTTCTAATGGTATTCGACACGCAATAAGACGTGGTAATAACTATTATTTTAGGATCGAGGCCAGACATACGCAAGACATCTTCTATAAAGGGTATGATTTGCTCGTAAAAGTCACTTTCACCTCGGCGGCCGTGTATCGCAATCGCGTAAGCCTCCGCCAGACAATCGAAACAGAAATGAAAAAGACTGAATGTGAGGCAAGGTAATTGGAACAAATTCGATCAGAAGGAAGAGAAATCTCTGCGAGTGTTTTATATAAATTCTCTTCTAGTTAAAAATTTATAAATCAAAATTGCGCGATATTGTATTCAACAAAAATTATCGAATACAACTTTACAAACCTAGTCAGGTAAATTGATTTCATGCAAGAATATCTTCCGTTATTATATTATAAAGATAATTTATTTTTATTAAAAATGTATTGCACAATAAAAACATTTTTAATTGGATAAATATATAAATCGCCATACAATGTATTATATAAATTAAATAAATTTTTAGAATATTTTGTATGTCTCCCGAAATTAAGATAAAATGTTGCAATATTTTAATGGAAATTGCGTGCATGGAATAATTGTTGAAAATCTACATAATAATATCAACAAAGCCGTGATTTGTGATGAAGGTATAATGAAGCTATTATCATCATGGTTATTAAATCAAGAGCACTACCGCATCAAGAGAGACTAATGAAGGTACGATAAAGCGCAGTCTATCAAAGGCATCGGTAGATTTTAGATCGCGTGTCACGTGTCTCCCGTGAAGGACCATCGAGGGAACAGACCGGCATTATCACGCACGAGTAGCTGCATCCCAGGTTTTATTTTCGAGACGACACTTCTCCGTGGAAGCGATCGCATCTGGGATCTCGTACTCGATTAGAATAATATCGTCCAATGAAAATAATCCAACTCCCCCATGCGCGACGGAGCGATACCGTGCAGCCGTCGGGTATCGCACGATAAACGACTAATGGCTAAAACGTGCGAAAGTAAACGCTCTCAACGCAATCGGTTTAGCGACACTGTTTATTTAGCACGGTAATAGGCTTACCGATGCGCCACAGTAAAACGGTTGCATGCTCCGCAACACCACGCCGTTTTATTCATCATCGCTCCTACGTCGTCTGTCATACGAGAGTCGTCTATCGCGTCTTTATCAAGTGACGACGAGAGACATGAGCATGTCGAGCGAACAATACCACCGTCTAGCGCCGTACTAAACGGCTTTGATCGACCAAATTAGTCTGCGGCGTTGTAACGCTTTGCACAGATTTAATTTAACCGCGGCGACGCATTTGAATGCACACATAACTGCTTTTTAATTGGCATGATGGCGTTTCTACCGCGTAATAATTTGCTGCCTCGATTCGATGATTGCGACGTAGCAAATTGTGGAATTTAGGCCCTATCCATTAAACATGGACAGTAAATTAGGAAATATTATTAACAGAATACCAAAGTGTTATTTAAACTCATATTTGAATAAATATAATATGCAAGTGAAAAAGATATGGATCAATGCAGCTTGTTTCTATAACACTCTTTTAAAAATTAACTCAATCTCTAATATATCTTTCGATAGCGTGTATATTTTTAAGTAAGATTGCCGAGAGTGAATAGTATTTGGTTCAAATTTAAAACTAATTTACACAATGACATTTCTATCAGTTTCGTGTTCCAATTCAAACATTATAGAACCCTGTTACTATATCATAATTTATTTATGACGTAGAACAATATTAAGCCACTCACAAA